CAAGAAAAATTTGAAATGCATTGATAAACAAATACAGAAATCACAGAAATCTTTTAAATAAAAAATATGTAAAATACAGTGCTATATTAAAGGGAACTCCCTACCAATTTACACATCTAATATGCTGATTATCCTAGACACATGGATGGGTATTCAAATGTATCTCAGTATGGTTATTACCTTGTATTCACCTGATTTATTAATGTCTCTTGATATGTATTGCATCTTATCAATTTCCTATAGTGACTTTTGCTTTCCTTTCTCAAATAGATTGTTAAGACTTATTGCATATACCATATACTATATATGTAAGTATTCTGTAATTTGTATGTGAAAATTCTAATTTTCAAATCTTAGAAAAATTGTTTGAAAACAATGAAATTAAAAATTTAGAAATTACATCTCATTTATTGAAACACCTTGTCTGCTATACATTTATCTGTGTAGATGATTTGTGATGACATTTTCCTCCTTTGGAATCATGAAGGATTGTACTTGGCTTTATTCAAAATACCTGTTGTGGGTTCAACAGAAAAATATGGTTGGCCTTGTTCTAAGTTGTAGAGGAGACGGGCATGATAGCCACTGGCAGGATCATCAGCATCAGTAGCTGTCACTTTGATAACAAATGTCCCTAAAGAAAAAGAAATATTAGGAAATTCAGATTTGGATGTTACTTAAAAATAAAATTAGCTCTATAAAGCATATGATGATATAAAACAAAATCTTAGCTTATGCCCTCTTTATGAATTGCAGACATAGCATTCAGTGTATAAACAAGAGACTATAACTATATATGAATCTGTCTACTAATAGAATACTAACAATCAAATTTTACTGTTATAATTTTGCTGATTGCATATAATTAGAGGTATCTGTAGTTTATAGTAAGGCAAGTTATAAAAATTGATCAGAAAATCATTTAACGGAAGAGCTTCCTTAGTTGTGAAATTTGTAAGTTTTTTTCTTTCTAGTGATGTTGATGAATAATATATAATTTATTTAAAGTAAATTATCTTAATATTGTAATCTTTGAATCTAGCAAACTTACATTCTGTAAAATCATATTTTGATGGATACAAATTATCACCAGAGTATTGTTTAAAATAAAACTGTTTTAATAAAAAAACAATTCCTACACGTAATGAGGGTTTTGAATATGTAACATAACAAAATAATACTGTTAAAAAACTCATGTTAAGGGCTAGAGAATTGGCTCAGCAGTTAAGAACACTTGGTGCCCTTTCAGAGAACCTGGGTTCCCTTTCCAACACCCCCATAGTGGTTAACAACCATTCTTAACTCCAGTTCTAGGGGATCCGATGCCCTCTTCTGATCTCCAGGGACACTGCATAACATGAATGCCCTTGTAACACATGCAGTTAATACACTCATGCATATAAAATTATAATAATGACAAATATTTTTAAAAAATAATAATTCATTTTCATATATAATTATGATCTTTCCACATGTGATAAACTGACAAATTGAAAAGAATATGGAATATGTTTTTATCAAAAATGGCAGTGCCAGATCCTGCACACTGGGCCATGATGCCCTGCTCCCCATTCTCACTGCTACAGGGCTCATATCTACTATGCTTAACTAATTAGACCCTCCCCATGTTGTCACTTCCCTGCCTTAGATCTAGGCCCCATACTGCTTGCCTTGCCTGAAACTTCTGGACTAGGCTGAAAAGCATGCCTCTCATCATTTATCAAAGAAAGCTTCCTTTTGCAACAGGTGTGAGACTATTAAAGAGTTATACAGCTGGTCAAACACAGAGAATAAGAATCTGTGGCATACCCAGTCCTAAGTGACAAGCTACATAAAATCTCTTCACCTAAGGTTCAAGGAACATAGCAAAACAGAGGGAGAAAGAATATCACACCAAGGAAGCATCCTCATACAACAAATAGCGATTAACACAGAAAGTCACAACTGGCCAAATGTAGAGGCAAAAAAAAATTCTGCAGCATGCATGTCCCTGGATAAACTCCTATATTAAACTTCAGCCACTGTTGGCTCAGGGTTCAATGTCAAAGAGGGGGCCAAAAGACTGTAAGAGCCAGGGATGGTGGATGACCACAACGAAACAGAGTTTTTCTAGGTGGCTGGGAACTTGGTCACAGGAACTTACAGCAATTGTGACAGTATACACAAGACCAGTGCAAATGCAAACCAGACAAAAACCCAGCATAGAAGTAGGGAAATGTGGAAGAAGCTCCAGCTTTAGCTGAGGAACTATTGACAACTAATCACTGCTACGTGTTGGAGAGTTTGGTTTTCATTAAAGGAGTGGTGCTAAATAGGCTCCCTGGATGAACTCTCACTGTGGGTTATTTGGGTTCAGGAACTTATCTCAATAGGCCTTAACCTATGTGGTGGTTTGAATGACAATGCCCCCCATAGATTTCAAGTATTCAGAGATTTTTGTCCCCAGTTGGTGGCACTGTTTTGGGAGGTCTCAGAAGTTGTGGCCATGCTGGAGGAAGCATGTCACTAGAGGCTGGTTAGGGAGTTCTTAAGCCTTGTGCAATTTCCAGTCTCTCTCTGTTTCCTGTGCCTACTTTGATATGTGAGGCTCTGCTTTCTGCTCACTGTCACTTCCTGCCACCACACCTCCCTGCCATGACAGACTGTCTTCTGGAATTATAAGATCAAATAAATTATTCCTTTTATAAGTGTCCTTCATCACGATGTTTTCTTACAGCAACAGAAAAGTAACTAGACAACACGTATGACAGAATGCATTAAATCTGTTGGCAGGTTATGAGGGGATTTGCAACCAGGAAAAAGGTGTAAATATGATTAAGATGGATGGTGTGAAATGCACAAAAGATCAATTAAAATTTAAAAAGAAATCACAGCAAAATGACATTTCACTTTTTCCACAATGATAAGGGCATTATAAAAAAAAATAAAATCTTTGATTTATAACTTTCAAGAACTATGCCTGGTAAGCTATTATAAAAAAAAGAAAGAAAAAAGAAGAAAGAAAGAAAGAAAGAAAGAAAGAAAGAAAGAAAGAAAGAAAGGAAGGAAGGAAAGACACAATAAGATAAAAAGCTCATGACTTACAAATGACACCCAATGACACTTCAACTATAAAAAGCCTATAAATGCAAAGAACAGGAATGACACATGAATACCATCTGACTTAGAAGTAAAGCCAAGTCAACATTCAAAGTCTTGTGCCACCATCATAATAGATACAGAGATCACAGGATGAAATGTACCATACAGTTATGACCTTGAAACACAGAAAACTTTAATACATATCATATGTACTAATGAAATATTAAAAATGTCCTCCTGGGTTGATAAAATAATAATGCCTAGTATAATCGGTTCAATTGAACACATTAGTAAAGTATTTGTAGGCTGGAGAGATGACTCAGTTGAGGACACTGGTTATTCTGGCAGAAGACCCAGGTTCAAATCCCAGTACCCACATGGCAGCTAACAATTGTCCATAACTCCAGTTCCAGAGGATTCAACACTTTCTTTTGTCCTCTACAGGCATTACATGACATTGTGCACTTACATACATGCAGTCAATACACGCATACACATAAAATAAAAAATAATAAACAAATTAAAAATAAAAGTAAAAAAAAGTATTTTCCAGGATAGTAAGGAAAATAAAAATAAAATGTTATATAAAACTATTATTCAGATTTAATTTTGTTTGAAACAAAAACAAAGCTATTTATAGGAAACAGAATTCTAAGTAAATTTAGCAAGATAACTATGTGTTTAGAATTAATAATCAATGTATTTATTAGAATAATTATTATCACTGACTGTTCTATACACATAACTACATAACAAATGGTATAAATCTCTAACAGTATCTTTATTTATTTATTTATTTATTTATTTTGGTCTTTTTGAGACAGGGTCTCCCTGTAGCCCCAGCTGTCCTGGATTCACTATGGAGACCAGGCTGGCTTCTAACTCACAGAGATACACCTACATCTGCCTCCCCAGTGCTGGGATTAAAGGCATGTGCCACCACGCTGGGCTAACAGTGTCATTTTTAAAAGGTCGGCTCTAAACATTAACTTTTAAAAAATTAGGAGTTGCTATAACTTACTCTTTGGTGCTGGGATTAAAGGCATGTGCCACCACGCTTGGCTAACAGTGTCATTTTTAAAAGGTCATCTCTAAACATTAACTTTTAAAAAATTAGGAGTTGCTATAACTTACTCTTTTTCTTAAGTTTTCTTGTATCTTTGGAAAACAGGCACCTGCACATTGTAACAAACATCAAAATATACTTGAAATTTAATCTCAATGCAAAGAAAAAACATTCATTATTTTAATTTTATTTATATTAATACCTGTATGTTAATTATCTTACTGCCAGGATAGAATTGAAATATTATGTAATTTCTATTCATAAATATTATGTCAATTATTATATTACATTCAAATACTATTTTCTATTTATAACTTCATTATATATTCATGCCTTTTCTAAGATTTTTTTCCTTTTCTACTGTTATAACAAATTAATCCTGATTATGTACCAAAGTCAGGAAAAGGAAAAGATAAGTTTTTATTTTAATTCTAATTATATGTCTTCTGTCAGTGTTTCTTATATTCTTTTTGTTATTATCAGTTTGGTATAGGTTCACTTGAAATTTTAAATTCCTGGTGAATATGATTTCAAAAATTTTAAATATTATAATGTGATCTACAGGTCATCAAATCAAGCAATGCTGAAAGCTTTTGGAAAGATATTTAGAATAAGCTTGAGAGACTATCCAATTGAAGATAAATGCAATGATTTAACATCTTTAATTTCTTTACCATATATCTAATCATTTTGTATAAAAATGAAAACAGAATGAGACAGGCACTGATATATAAGCATTGTTGCAAAATTCAATAAATGTAAAATAATTATGTGTACACCTACCATAAATACTCAGATTTTAAAATTACTTTAAATTACTGGGGTTTTACTGTGTTTCTATAGACACAAAATTTCAAACTATGGTTCCTGCAAAAGAGTATATTTGTTTAAAGACTTTGTTCTGTGTGACTAAGAATGACTTTAGTAGCACAAAATCAAAAGTCAAATAGTTTTTCAGTTTTCTACAGAAAATTCTGTGACTTTACACAGAACAATCCAGTTTTATCAACTGAGACAATCTGATAGGAATCCCTTCTGTGCTTTGTTAATTGCTCATAAGTTTTTTGTTTTCTTTTGTTTTTTTTTTTTTTTTGTTTTTTTTGGTGTATGTGTTTGTGTTTTTTTGTTGTTGTTGTTGTTTGTTTTCTTAAAGGGGATAAGCCATAGTTTATTCTGGAGCCAAATATGAGATAATTGAGTGATTATGGCCTTGGAATATAGATTTGGTTTACTCCAAATTCCATGCTCAAACGTGGTAGCAATTTCATTAAGTTTTTATAGTTACAGAATGAAAAGTCATAAATCAAGTCACTTTTCAAATACATAGGGGGAAAGAGTGTGTAGGTAGATACAGCACAAGATATTAATTCAGAAAAAGTGGTGGGCAAGGAGTGGCTGTTTAGGGGCTAAAGATGGCCAGAGATAATTTGTGAATTTGCTTTGATTCTGCAACATTCCAAACTCTCCACTTCCATTAAAGTGTTAAT